GGTGGATGAGGGTAACCGGCGTTGTCGAGTAGATCCGATAAAATGTTGCATATCTGAATTCTTATCGGTGGTAAAGGAACACACGTTCGTTGTTTGGGACAACCACACCAATCATGTTCACCCAATGAATCAGTTAAAGAGCGTGCACCCATCGCTGGAAATCATTTGTGCAGATGGAAAGGACGATAAGCCAGGATTTCTGCAAAGGCTACTGTGGCGAAGAGAAGACGGCGAAAAATCTGAGAAGGTCAGCACAAGATCTTCGCCCATACGGGAGGGTGATCATAGGTTGGTACAACCAGTGTTCATTGAATAGACGCACTATGCAATTCTATTTATGAAAAGAGCTGCACGTGGTGGCGACCGCGGTTCCTAAAAAGAGGTGGCCTAGGTGAATACTATATTGTCACACCATACTTGAACTATCTTTTCGCATCTTGTTCCTACTCGTCCCACGCGAGCCCTGCTCGGATTACTTTCGTTCCCAAGATTCCTAATCCTTCTTTTACCAATCACCTTCACTTTCAGGCCATCGCGACGACACTGGGTCTTAACGTAGTGCGGTGGTTTGTGTTCCTCAGTGACCCATTGAGCTATACTGGGTGGTGCTTTGCACCTTCAGAGCCACTCCAACCAGAGTGGTCAATGGTTAGAGGCCAGACAAACTCAGTTTCCAGGCCCTCCAAGTTAAACGTTGGAGTGAGCGTGGCTCCTTATACCATAAAACTGACAGCACTTGCCCACACACTAGAGATCCTACCGGTCGATATTTGATGTTTATCAGAAACTCGCCTGGAAGGTTCGAGCTCAGTGCTTACCCTGCAATCCCACACATGTGACACTGGCGGCACATTCTCATTGCGCCTGTCTGGCGATGATGCAGCTTCAAACGCCGGTCAAGCTGGCGTCGGCATTGTTTTGTGTCCCCGGACTGAAGTTGCCCTGATCGATTGGATCCCAGTAAACAGACGGATATGCGCAGTTAGATTAGCTGTTTCGTTCCATGCTACGAAGTCGCGCGCGAACAAATGGTGCCTGTTTGTCATTGCGGCCTACGTGCTTACAAACTGCTGCCCTGATTCGGTGAAAGATGATTTCTATCACCAACTTCACGATCTCCTTCGTTACGGAAGAGGCATGGATAGTGATGCCAGCTGATGAGCTTTACCTTGGCGACCAACATGATGTAGGCTCCCGTAAAGATTACGATGAGCGATTGCTACGACTGTGTGAAGATGCCTGTCACTTTCTCACGAGCACAAACTTTCGACATAGTACCCGCAAAAGCGTGACTTGGAACGCACCAGTTTTGCACCAGTCATGGACGCAAATCGATAACATCGCAGTTAATTGCCGCTAGAGAGGCTGCGTCCAAAACTGTCGGTCGATTGGGAGCACCAGCGTGAACTCAGAACACGTGCTTGTGTGTGCCGACCTCCGGGTGCGCTTCGGTGGACGTCCGCAACGTCGATGTGAACGGATTGACATAAGCCATCTGGCGAAGCCAGGTGTTCTGAATGTGTAGCAAAGTGCGCTGACATCCGGGCTGAGTAGGCACCCACTGAACACCGTCGAAGATCACTGGTCGCATATGCTTCAAACGTTACTGTTAGCAGGCATGTCTTCATGTGGAAAAACAAATTGCGTCTCTACAAAGTCTCTGGAACTTATAGATGCTCGCCGACGTATTCCGGATGAAAGGGAATACAATGAGTCTCGCAAAAATCTCAGGGAAAAACTGCGTGCTAAGCTGAAGAAAGACCGCGAAGCCTGGTGGTCTCATCGTGCCTCGGAGATGGAAACAGACGCTGCCGTTGGTAATCATCGTAACTTAATCCGTCTGATACGGGAAACAAGCAACAGGAGACCTGGTGTTGACGAGACAATACGCGACGATATTGGACAGGCGATCAACTGCCGGTTAAAACGTTTGGAGAGTTGGACCGAACACTTTGGAAGACAGTTTAACCAGTCTGAGTTATCGCACACTTTTTCAGGCATTGCGCTCCCTTCTCCATGGGCCGTCTCCTTAGATCAGCCCTTACGCGTAGAAGTCGAACGTGATATCAGGCTGTTGAAATTGAATAAGGAGTCAGGGACAGACAGAACTTCCCCAGCCGTCCTCAAATTCGGGGAAACTGCTCTTGTAGACGATTTACACGAGCTTCCAATGGAACATTGGGAGAAGGAAACTGTCCCAGCCGACTGGAGCCGCTCCGCAATTGTCCCAATTTTCAAGTTAGGCTTTTGTTTGGAATGCGGCAACTATGCAGAGATCAGTCTGATCTCGAATGACGCTAAATTGCTTGCGTCTGTCATTCTCCACAGACTGACTGCTACCCGTGGAACCCAGAGTCGTGAAGAGCAAGTCGGGTTTCGTCGAAATCAAAACTGCACCAACCACATCTTCACTTTACGTTAATTGTTGGAGCACCGCCATGTTTATTGGCAACCCACGGTTGTCGTGTATCTCAACATCAAAAATTCCTTCAACTCAGTCGATCGATGTGCTCTTTGGGACTGTCTGCTGAGGAAAGGTGTGTTCGATAAATACGTAAACATTATCGAAGCGCTGTAGGAGCATAGTCTTGGCAAATTGTCGCCACCCTTCAGTATCACCAACGGTGTGAAACAAGGTTGCCCGCTGTCACCTTTCCTAGTTAACTTCGCAGTTGACGAAGTCATGGGAACAGCATTCGCTTGACACGACCTAGAAGGTGTGGAGCTACTCCCTGATGAGCGACTTCTTGACTTAGAGTTCGCGAACGATATTGCCCTAACCTGTGAAAGCTACAAAACATGCCAAGCAACACTGGGCCGATTAGCACTGGCTATCTATCGTTTTGGGTTATACTTTGCTCCATCGAAATGCAAAGTTCTTACCCAAAATTGGCAGGTACCTAACCCAGGCTAACACTTGGTGGTGATCAGCTAGAAGTCGTTCAGGAATTCAAGTACCTGGGCAGCTATATTAGCACGCGTGGGATTGCAAATGAGGTTACCAACCGTATAACAAAAGCTCGAGGTGATTTTGCTTATCTTCCCCACGTGCGGCGCAGACGCGACATTACTCTCGCCCTGAAGAGCACTTTATAACGCACCCGTCAGTTCAACCTGCCTATTTCGTTGTAAAAGACCTGGCCCATCAGGTCGACAGACATAAAGAGGTTCGTTACATTCGATCATCGCTGCCTTCCCAGCTTAGCTCATGGGTGGTTGGAGCACCGCGTGAGCAATGAACGCGTTCGGCGTCGCGTAGTTGGTGCAGGAAGAGCGAGCAAACCGCTCAGCACCATTACATCACGCATCAGGCTCCGATGGCTGGGCCATGTGTGGCGCATGCCAGCACACCGACTCCCGAGACGTGCACTATTTGCGCGCCGGGGGTGCGGTTGGAAGAGGAGAAGGGTAGACCAAGCGATGACTTGGTCGAGAGGAATGAAAACCCTCACTTCGAAGCTGGCCTCGGTTGGTGCATCCCCACTGCCTGGCTGGCGTCCTAAGGACGATGAACAAGTTTGGTTTGACACACCTGCTTGTATGACAAAAAGCAGGCCCCAATGACGTTTGTGTTGTGAGTTTCTTTGTCTATCCCCCCTTTCAGAATCTCCCCCCAAAACCCGATCTCATGCAAAACGCATAATATAATATTAAACAGCATACTTTTTGTAATGCAATGCGTAGTGTAACTTTTAGTCTCTTATCTTTTTGCATTGCAACACATTAGCTGAGGTGTGTTACTTAGACTCAGCCAACATGTACTGATAATGATGATGATCACCTCATGAAGAGTAAGCTGGATTTCGTCGAAGGCGTGGCTACACTGATCACATGTTCACTTTGCGTCAGTTGTTGGAGCACCGTCACATATATTGGCAGCCCACCGTTGTCGTGTTCCTCGATATCAAAGTTGCATTCGATTCGGTGGATAGACGTGCACTTTGACACTGTCTACTCAGGAAAGGTGTACCTGAGAAATATGCAAATATTACCCGATCATTATACGCGCGTAGCTCAGGCAGAATGAGGGCTTAGAGCAGTTGGCTAGTGCTGCAAGCCGCTAATGGCCATGGATTCGGTTCCCTGAAGGAGACCCGAGAAAGGCGCACCACTGAAGAGTCCCAAGGGGACGCAACGGCCACCTGGTGCTATTCCGAATTTGCAGTTGGCCATTCTGACTTGTAATCTAATAGCCACGAACCGAATCAAGTGTGCCAACTTATTTGACTCATGAGAATGCAACAGGGACTGGAGTGGATTCAAGTCAGAAATGTTGAACCAGCGGAATCGTTCTCCAGAATGATCAATCTAAAGATCTGATCGACTTGAAGGAGACTGAATCGATTTTCCATATTTCGTAATTATCTATACCATCAGGAATAAATGTTACAGACTAGTGTATCGCTAAGTCCAAGGACTCCTGGTCAGACGCTATTTCTGACGGTCACGCGAACTCCAAAGAACCGGTTTGTGTGCTCCAAGCAGGTTTATCAGAGAACTATTCAGAAACCCCGAGAAGGACGAGCAAGTGGTTTCAAATTTTGGCTGCCCAACTGAAGGCGACTTCAACCGGCATTTGGTTCGTCCACTTCTCGTCAATGAAAACTGAGGCCGCAATTCAGGTGAACATCACCGCAGCACAAAATGGGAATACTGCTAACGAGCAAGAATATTCGAAGTTGCGCATTTCGCCCATATCAGTCGAGTCAACGCACGAGGCAAGTTCTCCAAGTCAACCGCCAATCTTACGCTGACATGCACGATGTGGTCAACATCAGTCTGTGGCTCAGTTGACTGCCAAGTTGTGATCAGCGCGAAGAGGTTGAGAAAGAGGTCATCATTGTCAGTAACACAGGTATTGGCCTGGGAACAACAACTGAGATGTATCGACTATAATAAGCGGACCAAACGTTGAAATTGGTTAAAAATAGTAGAGATAGGGAAAAACAACAATCCGTGATACGTGAACAGTAAAACAGGGAAGCGTAACCCAAACTCACTTTGTTTGGGATGCTATCCATAAAATCCAGAATAGAGGAGCCGTACAGTTGGCAAAGCACATGCAATAGGGTCTTTACAGTCCGAATGGGGATATCGGAAGTGCGGGTTTTCCACGAGGCGGAGGGAAACGCTTTGAAGAAGTGATGACAATCCAGAAGGATGACATCTAGAGCATAGCTGGAAACTGTGTGCAGAAGAGAGAACAGACGGGGGCAAACCAAATAAGACGAGGGCTGGGTTCAGTGAAGTACTTACGGAATGAGAGGTACCGCGCATAGCAAAACAAACCTGAGGTATCCATCCCCTTGGTGATGCGCCACAAACTTCTCATCACTGACTTTGTGAATCGACTGGTGTAATCATTGTTGCTGACACATTCGTGTAGCAACCGAATGAGGGCACTGAATTGGAACAGAAAGAGAGAAGTTTTGAGATGCGTGCGAAAAAGAGGGGCGACACATTAGGACGAGTGTGACAGGATGAACGAACCTAATGTGGATTCGATTTGGTTCAATTAAGTGACTAAAATCGGAGCACCGAAGCACAACGGATACAGTTGCCTGGAGTCATGTCGGCGGAAAAAAAAGGAAGATAACGGTGAGGAAAATGAAGCACAGTGGAAAAAAGAGGAAGGGAAAAGATATCAATGAAGCAGTTAGGATGATTGATCTTATCGGAATGGTAATGACTAAGTGTAAGGGACCGAATACCGGAATGCAACTGCGCCAAATGGTGGACGGTCTCCAACCGTTGATGCCACAAATTCCCGAAGATAACATAAACGAGTCAAATCGAGCATCTGGGTCAGTTTCTCCACACTTTCATGTCACGTCATCGACGGAGCACCCCACCATTTCGTCCAATTCGGTGCAGCGACATCTCATGATGACTACCCAGAATGTCGGTCAAAACGCAGAAAGAGAACGTGACGTGAACGAGGTAGGCGGCGCAAGTCGAATAGGTACTCTGGAGAAATGCTAACGGATCTCTTCCAAAGCATCCCATGGCGGACTTCAGCACTGATTTACCGGCGTTTCAACAACATGTGAAGAATACGCCGCATGCACAAATGATCAAAGACGACCACTGACAGAACATCTTCGGCGCCAAGCTGGCCAGGTTTATGATATATACAGCAACACCGGTGTTATCACTGCGTCGCCCACCTACAATTGACTAATAAAATGTTGCTGCACCATCTCCATGAACAACTGAGACCTTGGAAAGCCATTAAATTGTACCGGTGAGTAAATCGGTACACTCAGTGGTGTGACCATCAGAGGTGATACAACTGTGGTCTCTAGAAGCGATGGTCCGTCGACTCAATTCTGCAGTGATAACTAGCACCTTGAAGGTGTGTAAGATATATCGAAGCATTATGCATACTGCAGGCAGACTAATATACTGTTTTATCAATTTATGAGCAAGTTTGACCAAATCAACCGCCTCGCTTCGCTCCACACATCTTCCCAAAAAGGGTTACCGAAGTATGCTGTCACGCAACCACCACCGATCGCACGTGGGCTAAGGATCCTGCGAGGGTCCCCCTGATCCTACGGAGGTTCGAACTCGCGCAGTCAGATTATAAGACAAGCATCAGTAGTACGCCGGTACGCAAGCTTGTCACCTTTAGGCTACCGACGGGCAAAGAAAGAAAAGGTATCAGCAGTACGCAGTACTGACGCTTCGCTGTCGTGTAACCACCACAGATCGCACGTGGGCTCGAACCCGCGCCGTCAGAGTACAAGACAAGCTCGTTAGCTCTAAGCTTCGAGCCGGCGCGTAGTGTGTTTCCTGTTCACTTGGGCGCGCCACATTGGTTTCGCACCTACTTAGCTCGGGTCCAGCGCACCAAAGTTGGTTAGTTTAGCAGGGTACCCCAGGATCTACTCAAGTGTGCTGTCTAAAATCTTCCCAATACGGACGCCCATTGTAATCTGTCTTGAGTAGGAACAGCTTCGCTCTGTTACGCCTCAATCTGCCCGCTTTACAGAACCCTCGCCAAATCCTATAAGGCACGACTACCGCTGTGTCCCAGTACCCAAGAAGCTCAGAGGCTAGTATTAAATCCACACCTTATTAGCCGTCGCAGAATTTGACTACCACATCCAATGAGTTGCAGTAGCTGACTACTCGTCGGTCTATCCTCATGTATGATCCGTGCCGTAGCGTCTTGTTCCCGCATCGCAGTGAGTGACAATTATTTGGCTCATAAATCTGGCTGTATACTTTGACATACGTTGCAAGGTTGGGTAGCAAGTAAAGCACAGGAAACTTCAAGTGGTTCGCACGTTCACCAATTTTGCAAGTTTTGCTCTTATAAATAGTCAGTGGAATATTGTTAAGGCATCCATACTAGTAGTTCACAAGCTACATAGCAAAGCCCAGTCCGGAAATGCACCAAACGCGTCCCGCCCTATTGGGACCCGTCAGTGATGTGCATTCCTTCGGTCCCCTACGGGGGATCGAACCCATGATCGGTAGAGGCAGATGCCAACTAGCCACTGAACCATGGGGGAGGTTGGCTGGGCTACATAAGTTGTAACTTAACTGGGATATTGCACCACCTATTTTCCACTGTCACTGACAGTGGCCAGCCTGCGAGATGATGACGTCCTCTCGCTAGACGCTATATCTGTAGCATTTGAAACTAGGAAATACTGTTTAGTTTATATTACTCGCAAGTAGCAGGATTTTAGTTGTAATGTTAGGCTTTCATCCAGGTACTTCATAAGCTACATAGCATAGCCAAGTCCGGAAAACCATCCGACGCCTTACTGGGGCTCGTCAGTGGTGCGCATTCCCTCGGTCCCCTACGGGAATAATCGCTACTGATTAAACCGTGGATCTACAACAATAATTATGAGCAAATGAATATCATGGCTTTAGAAATAAGTGAAATGATGGGTGAGAGTGACTGGCAATAAGTCCAATAAAGCAATTCAGCCGATAAAAAATGCGGGAAATCGGGGAACGTGACACGGTAAATCAAAGAGCCCTAGAAAGCCCTTCGACTAAAAATGTAACAATAACCGAGTGAAAAGGCTTGGAAATTGAAAAATGGCAAACGTGAAATCTGTCAGTTCGTAATGAGGGTTAACGTGCGGAAAGATACTGAACAGAACGGTGCGCCCTTTAGAGAAATATAGGACAAGCTTAAATACTCATAAATTGTTAGTAGATAATTCATCCTCAGGAACATGAAATTCACTGAGGTCTTTGAGAGAGGATCTGGAGACGCAGTCGCACTGAAGACAAAAAGCATTATCTCAAGCAAGGAATAAGTCAGATCATGCAAACAGACACACAAGAACAGCTCACCTTAGCACTCGCGTGTGGTTCGCGGAGGAGATGATGCGGACACAAAGCGAGTTGACCGAGCGGATCACGTTCTCGCCATCCGGAATGTCCACGGTGCGTTCGTCCAGCATAAGGCGGAGAAGGGACTGGATCAATTCGCGCAAGATCTCTCTAGATGCTTCGCGGCCCAGAGTGGGCCTGGTGAACAGCTGGAGGGGGTTGCGAGATGATGAAGATGATGATGAGTGGGCACGCGATAAGCCAAATGAGCAAAAATCAGCAAAATTGTCTAGCATTTGATCGCGATACCAACAGGACAGTGATTGGTGACGCGCATTTTTCATATGTCGGTAGAGCCATGAAAGCGGAAAAGGAAGCGAACACAAGTAACAGAGGGGATAAAAAGTCTCTTCTTCGGAACGATAAATTGACGTAATGTGAGCAACAGACACGAACTTGATCTGCGTCACAGCAAAGAAAAATATGTGTCGAAGAAATTGAAAAGGCTCGCAAAGAAGATCCGCGTCACAAGTACACTCAAGTAGACAGCTATGACGAATATGTGCCATCCAAACGAGAATTGTAGGCACTGGCGAATTCTTTCCAGTCTGGAAGAGACCAGAATTGCTTTGACGCAGCAAGACCACTGGATCAGTAGGATCTCTTCGACCAAGTAATTAGCTCTGAGGCGTCGCGGCTTACCTTTCATTGCCAGGTGCGTCTCCAATGCGTCCAAGGCTACATTGACTCTGAGAGGGATGAGGTTCCCCGTTGGGTTGCCAATCGTCCGACGAAATAAACTATCTTGAGGGGGGGGGTTGGATAATGTCAAGGGAGATTTGTCGTAGCATATTAAACAGCTCATATGAGTATCCGGATGTCCTTGTAGCGTCTTTGGCAGTCAACTAGCCGAATAGATTATAATACGATTCCGACTCCATCTGCATTAAAGCGTTACACATGAACACAAGTGACTGGCTAATGCTTCAGTGACGAATGAGTGCTGTCAGCGGCTTGATTTAAGCTACCATTGTGCGAAGGATGACATGGTGCGCTTGTCAGTAGGATGTTCTCATCTTTAACTGGCCTCAGGAGACGGCTGATTTTTGGTGTGGGAGACACAGTGCACAGACTTCGTCAAAGTGCAAGGCTCAATGATGAATTTACATGGCAAGATAAACCACTGCCTATGGGTGCGTAGGCGTTCCACTTCGGACACTTTAAACACCTGCAGCTGACAAGTGTTGTCCAAAATTGTCTTCAGAATTCGTAGTGAAGCCTTTCCGCGTAACAAGACCGGGTTTATTTAAATCGACGCTATCGCAATTCACTAGTAAGTATCCACGTGAGAACACAACGCTACATGCATACGAATCAGATGACCTCAAAAAATACATGGCCTTGTGGAAAGTGTTACAACCGCAATCTCCGAGCTACCACGACATGAGAGCAGTCTACACAGGATTTGTCGACATTTCTGCGTTGGCCCCGTAAATAGTTTGGCTCCGATACGCATGCCTACAAATCTTATTTACTCGGGTTTACGATGAATGCGTGGGAGGAACCGAGGGCGATGTAGCATAACGTCCGTATGAGTGTAGGCGTCGTGCGGATAGTATCAAGTACAGCAGTAGACAAGTGTAAAGACAGATGTCGCTAATTTTTGATGTTAAGAGCCGGTATAACAACAGTAGACAGTACCATGCGATACAAATGAACACAAATATGCGTGTGCCTGATTTATGCGAGGTCTGTGTGTAGACTAGACAGTAAGTTAAATGTGCGGAGCAACCGAAAACACTATTGGTAACACACCAGAAACAATCATGAAATGTGGGAGGGGGGTGATGAGAAACTAAGATTTCACATGCGAGACCAAAGCATAAACACACCGCATGGAAAACAGAAGAGTTGGCTAACGTGTTGCAAAGATAGAGAGCTATAACGGTTAAACGACATCCAGCGCCTCGCGTTACAATCAACAATATCACACGGAAAAGTCAGTACCACGAACACAAACACAAAATAACTGCCTCAACTATTAGGCATGACAACAACACACGGGCCACTGGCACCAGTTACAGTTTATGTCACCAGTGGTAAATGTATCAGAAATACGCCGGTACGTACTGACGCATCGCTGACGCAAAACCACCAGCAATCGCAGGTCGGCTAAGGATATTTTGCGAGTTACCCCGTCGCTACGGAGGCTGGAATCCGCGTCCTGGGACTACAAAGCAAGCCCGTGACCCTTATTATTATTATTATTATTATTATTATTATTATTATTCTACACTTGACCAATGTACAATTGGCAGTGCCACAACACATAGTTATCAACAACAAAAAGGTGGTGAAACGGGTAGTCAGTGGAAGGACTTGGAAAGTTTAGAAGGTTAGTGTGTTGCGTTGGCAGTGAGATTCCCGGATACCCAGACCGAGGATGAGATTTGACTTAAGGGACCCCACTCCGAGTCTTTGGTCGTAAGACCTAATCAGCAAGGCAGCGGGACGATTAAGGAAGACAGTTGACGTCCGGGTGGCTCCTTCGCCTTCTTTGTGTTCGGTTACAGTCCAAAGAGAAGCTGGTGGCCAGTAAGGTTGTTCATCCGCTCGCCGTTATACTCACCTCTGGTTACAGATGTGAGTGGTCAGTGACCCCATAGCCGGTCACATTGGCTTTGACACAGCGCCGTACGAGCTCTTGTGATATTCGATGGAGAACCAAGTGACCAGCCAAGAACTCCCCACGCTCTGAGACGCTGCTGCTGATAGTCCGCGACTGCTTATTCATCGCGCCTGAAAGACAAACAAGACTTATTCATGGCTGTCGCCACAAGGAAAGTACTCCCCAACCTAGGGACATGCCCGATAGCGTACAGCTTGTGATCCGAGTCGGCATACAACATGGAGGAACCATTGAGTCAAAATCGTCCGGGAAGATAAATTAGAGAACTAACAATAACCTGCGAGAAAAGTTTGCTCGAACCCCAAGGTGATATAAAGACACGCAAAAAGAAACTTCGAAGGTTTAAGCATCGAGTTCCTTCTCTTCGAATTAGCACAAATGGCACGAAAGGCGGCCAACTTTCTTGGACAGAGATTTGGCCGTATCTGTTAGTGTACAAATATCTTACATCCTGCCTACGAAGATCTTGCCACCAACAAGCCTACACAACATATCCTTTGCCAGTACAACTGTACTGAAACGACTGATGTCCTTGCTCGAGTAAAGCTAAGCTGATACAGATGGTATTCGCCCGAAGACGTCGGATGTTGTTGCCATGAGTTTAGCTGAATCGTTAGCGATACTCGTTCAGCGATGTTTCAACGAGGTGCACGGCCCCATGATAGCGAAACACAGGATCATCAATCCAAGCTACAAATATGGTAGCCGTGCAGAACCAACGAATTATCGTCCGATAACACTTCTTCCGGTGACATAGAAGATCATGAAGTCCATAGTAGCTGAGGTGATCATGGGATGCCTGGAGAGTAATAAAATGCTTGTTCCGAAGCAGCACGGATTTCGCCAAAATAGGTCCTGTACTATTGGTGGTCTGAGTGTACGCTGAGCTCGGCAGTTTGGCTGCAAACGGTTGGTCACCACTGGAGGTGACATCGTCAGTGTGTGTGAATGTGGCGTAGCATCGCGGTACGAGTGAGTGATGGACTGCACCCTATGACGCGTTTCGATCGCATTCGACCGAAACAGATACAAATAGCAGGCATTGAATCCGGGACCATTGGAATGTTAGTTGTGACCGCTACCCTTAGGCCAAGAAGTCAAGACGGACAACGCTTGGCACAATGGTTAATGACTAATTGGTGGGCAATTTTGAAGTACACGTTATGTGGATGGATTGTGACTCGCAGGCTCAATGATGACCGCGATTCCCATTAAAGTGAATCTTGTACTTTCGATCACGATGATTGTAGTTGAGGAAGACAGAAATTGGGTATTGTCCGTCCGAAAACCCTGCTATCTCCATTTGATGAGATCAAAAAAGATCGAAACGCATCACGGAGTGCAGTGTTTTAGGGCGGGCAACACCCAATTTCTATTTGCATCAGCTACGATCCTCATGATCGAAAGAGCAAGGTTCACTTCAATGGGAATCACGGTTAACATTGAGATTGCCTGTCGCAATCCATCCACACAAGGCGTACTTCAAAATGACCGCCCAATGACCTTGGTTGCTTGAGGCAGACTGAAAAGACATCGGAAAAAGCAAACCAACGCTTTGGCCTTCTTCGCAGAGCGCTCGGTAAGCTCGACGCCTCGGTCTTTCCGAAAGTGCGTGGCGCATACGTCTGTCCGCATGCGGAACGCGCTATCGAAGCGTAGAAACCCTGACAAAAGTCTCACCTCACCGCGCTCGATAGTGCACAACGCAGGGCGACGAAGAAAGTCGAAGGTGTCCCGTTGTGCCTACCTACTCGGGATGAGAACTAAAAAGGCACAGTGATCGTTATTGGCGTCGATGCGGAACGCTCACAATGGTGTATCAGACCCTAAGAAACTCAAATCACACATACCACTATCTTCTGAAATGCAGTTAAAACACATCTATAAGGGTTATCAGTTTAAGTGAACCACACAATACAGACGACTGGAATGTCGATGAAACTTTCTCTCTCAGAGTGTCAGAGCCTTGGAACTCCCTTCCGGTACATGTAATTAATTACCCTACCGTATCCCCTTTCAAAAAATACGCGTTGACGATAACATGACACATTTACACAACAAGAGATAGCCCATGACCACCAGATGATGATATTAGTGCAGAACCAACAGTGGACGGTATCACAAACCTCCTAAACTCCAGGCAGAAAACTCATTTATGTGCTAATGCAACCTCCACGCATGTACTTTACTGACAGTTTGTTGCCATGTAATGTTCACCCTAATCATTCTACGGGATTTGTCAAACATTTGCTTTTATATACATCATAAACGATTGTTCCATTGCTCCTCTGTTACCTTTGACCTTCAACCAACCCAGGCAACTGACTGATGAGGTAGACATGCCAAATTTCTGTTTCGGTTTCAGATTGTGTTCACGTTTGTTAGTTGCTTTAGTATGTAAGTTTTTAACCGTTTACGGCTATAGTGTGTTTCATCTAGGATAATTGGCTTCCAGATATAAGCCACAAAACTTAAAAAAGTGTATTTATTTTTGCTTCGTATGCTTATCTCGTTTTCCATATGGCGTCACGCTACCTGTGCTGACCACGTCCCAACGCTCGAGTTTTACACTCTAGAACCCAAGTCACTTTAAAAACCACAGCGTCTTGTGGTCAAAATGCCCGCAACCGTAACTCATTCACCATGGCTACAAGTTGGCCGCCATTCCGCAATCTACGAATGAAGATAACAGCTAGCCCGACAGGTGTGCACATGACTATGTTTTGCTAAAGCCGACGACTGGGATTCTCCGTGGGATGAGGATCGTCTTGGACGGGGGTGGAGGTGGGGGAGTGACGGTCTTCAAGTGCATCGTCATGCCAGCCAAGGAGAAAATGCTTTCTAGGCCTTCTTTTTCCGGATTAGCCATGTTTTCCGCAATCCGACGAGCTTGTGACGATGGTCCACCGATGCTGCTCTCCGTTTCAAATCCAAGCAATCTATAAATAACCCACAAGCCCGAACCAAGCAAACTCCACACACCCTAGTTCTGAGATGTCTACGCCTGCTCCATTTGCTAGGCGATTCGCCTATTCTTACATTGTCACCAAAGGTGACATCTTTAGCGAATGTTTTCATTACTCAGCCTTTAAGGGGGAGATTTCTGTAGTGAAGTTGAAACGTCCAAGCTTTCAGTATTTGTGACATTGGATGGTATTATTCTCACAGGTAACGGTCGCAGACAGCACCCGAGTTACGCTTTATAGATTCAACTTTCTAGACCCGATCTGCGTTCTAACACATTTCCCTCATCGTCGCTAATATTGTTACCCTGGTGATGCGGGTTCATGGAAATGAGACTGGACCTTACCGTGGTGCGATGGTTTGTGTACCTCAGAGCTCCATCGAGTTATGCTGGATGGTGCTTTTTGCATCTTCAGAGTCATTCATACCAGATTAGTCAATGTGGATAGAGGCCAGACAAACCCAGTCTTCTGGTTCTCCAGGTTGGAGGTTGGAATGGGTGACTCGTTATTTCTTAAAACGGACCCCTTCTAACCTACCGCCAAACACGTTGCCTTGCGGTCAGGTTTTCGAAGCAAAGGCTTTGATTGAGAACTCTAACCGTTCGCTTGTTAATGCCGGGGCAACCTGACAATATCCTGTTAATGGAATACAATGACCTTACATTCAATTTCTCAGGCGTCTGGCAGTCGCAGAGGGTAATTAAGGGCGCCTTATCTGCTGCATCGAGCCGGATGGATGGGAGTTTGGATGCAACTGCTTCAGCAATCCCGTCTTCTTCCACCCCTTATGGGTTTTCACCCTTATCGTCCCGTTCCAACTTCGTTTTTCCCGTTTCAAATCCCCAAGTTCTTGGCTCTCCTCCACTTTGCTTTGATGAGTGTTTAGCTTCGTTTTAATTCACATGCAAACGCGGTGCGTCATGCTTGCAATGTTGACAAGCCCATATCTAACCAAACGGTCAAGCCCAGTTCATCGGCTTCTATTTGGAGCCCTCGATCCTTCTTCAGATTAGCACGCGTCAAGGTACGCACATGATTACAGATGGGTCAACAGGTATCAACAGCGGAGCAGCACACGGTCCGGCCTAGAAGATAAAATGAACTACGACCGGCCAGCCGAGCTGTCAATGTCTTCATTTCTCGCTAACAAGTGAACAATTGCTCCGCCCAGATCCGATAAAAACAGAAGAAAAACACATCAGCAAATAGTGCAACAGGTGAGTGCACGTTGTATGTGCTCAAATCGACGTCTTCTGTCCAGTTCAGCAGGTTGATCAAACAAGGAACTCGGCCATCGGCGTCCAGTACTCGTCGGTGCACAACATTGTGCCACCAGACACCGGTAGTGTGTCATGCAGGCGACGATGAGCAAAGACTTGGATGAATTTCAGGCCCTCAGACCGAAATCGTAAAGTTGTACTCCCATAGAAAACGGCCAGGAACATGGAAGAAAGTATAAAAATATCTTTCAAACAAAACCCTGTCCACAGACATGAAGAGAATGGTATCGAAGCGGAAATGGGTGTGAGAACACAGTTGACAGGAAAAGACTAATGAAAGAATACTCACCGAATCTAAGGTGGAGAGATGGCATCGAATGAGAGTGCGTAACTGGTCCTCGGAAACGGAAGGGTCGCTGAAATACCGCGTGGTCACCTGCTTCAACTGCATTGTGATGAGCATTAGAATCTCATTCACGTGATCCAACAGCAAATACCACTTTTCATCTGTTTGAAAGAGACAGTAAGCAAGGAAGATGAATGAATGGAGCTTGCGGAGAAAAAAACAAGTGAGCAATTCGGCGATGCTAGAGTACAGCAGTGGTAGTTCGCTAGCATGTAATCGATAGGTTTGCTGGGCGTTAGCATTGTTCAGTATCAGGATCAATAGCATCGGTTCTATTGTTGCCAAGTTGATTAACAAGAGAGGTCACGTGATCGTCAATGACTGGAGCAGCAAAACAAATCACAACCCCATTATAAGAGCGTAAAAATGTTATTCAAAAGGCACTCAAGACGTGTGGTACGATGTGCACCGAACCAAAACGGTTCACTGAATGTCTGCGACACTGCTACATTAGGAAGCTGGCATCTGCCGGTGCAAGACAGCCGTCTGCCAGCCTAACACTAGTACGCCCGCAGAGCAGTTTAATGTGATGGGTAAATGATGGGACCAACACGACGAATTAAGGTAAGAGCGTGCTGTTAGCACCAAACTGTAACTACCTAAGTGTCTGGCCTTAGTCAAACTTCGATGAGAACTTTAACTCCGGAGTCCTAGTGCTTGAGTTTCGTCTGAACAGCTTATTAACAGACAGGCCACCGGGGCAATAGCGCGGATACAACATAATGATCCACAAGAGCAGATGAGCGGTTCGCGTTGCTACAAACTGTGAAAGGGGTTGAAACACAATTTCGAGTGAAAGAGGAGATCACGGTCAAAGGCAGTGAACTCCGGAATATATATATATATATATATATATATATATATATATATATATATATATATATATATATATATATATATATATATATATATATATATATAGCGTCTTTGGTACGACTCGCCGCAACTACGACTCAGTCAGTCGCTCAATCGCTGCCACGACTGTCAACATAGCAAACAATCAATGAAAGAACATAGTACTCGATTGCAGCTGGGAAACATGGCAAAATTCTTAAGTGAAGCACTTGAAGGAATTCTGTGGAATTGAAAATGACAAAACATGGGGGGAGAAATACTCACCTCGAAGTACCATGTCGATCTCGGCCAAAGCGTGGCAGCTGGAAAGTAGATCGCTCGAAGAAATGGCAGTGACAACCATCGTGATGGCTGAAGCCGTGTCAGGACTAGTGCGTAGAAGCGCGTTTAGCACAGGCTGTCGGGATTGTGTCCTGCGAGCAAAAGTGTGCGACAAGAGTTAGAAAGCTAGCCTGTTGAAATTGACATCAAGCTGTGGAAACGCTAGATTTCCCAAAAGCTATGATGGAATGCACAGAAATATGGATTTATTATTAGTCGCCATTTTTATTGATAAAGGCACACCCAAATCCGTTCCCGCCTCAGACTAACATCCCGAGGCTGTTAGAAGATATCCACGAGCCCTTTATTTCTTGGCAACTGATCTGGCATCATAATAGATCTCGCTCAAAGATATTGGACCTATTCATTGCCGGAACTGCTGGGAACCGAATGTGCACTTTGCCCATGACATGAGCTGTCATTCCTTGGTGAGCTGACCGTTTATATTTGCGCTTGTATGGAATTGCAGTTGTGGTGATGTTGCATTCATGATGGTACTTCACCGCAGTTGGGCTAAGGTAGCTTACACTTAAACTAGGCAATTTAGAGAGATATTTGGTCGTTGCTGGAGGGGACGGGGTACACGGTCCTTGTGGTCGTGCTAGGGTCGAGGAGTTGTTCCATGCACTTGCGTGCGCTTGATTCCCAAATACAGCGTGTTTGTGTTTGCTGTGAAGGAGTGTGGGCCGGCTCCGTTGATGAAACCTGGCTACCATCCACATGCCTCCCGGTCTTATTCCTTCGGGTTTACACTGGATATGGGGTGTGTGGTTGGAGCTGTGGGTGGTGCAGCGCAAGCCATCCATGGTGCCTGTGTAGGCATAGGAGTCCTGTGGCTGGCCACAGTGACAGGCAAATCCAAAACCGGATGCCGCCAACCATAGATAGGATCTGATTACCGATAATGTGTCACCAGAACTATGGCGAAATAGGGGGGGGGTGAACCAAATGCGATATGAAGAAAACGATTTTTTGGCTGTACACACGCCGTTTTGGGATTTTTCGTGCTTTGGATGAGATGTTACCTAGTAGATAACACGGTTGAACAGCACTGCCCCCACTGGTGGCTGTTGCGCGCCATAGCCTCCAACGTTTCTAACCACTGGCAGTCCGAATCGCGTGGTACCCATCCAGGAAGGCGGACCCGTCAGGCGAATGCTAAGCTTGAGGTTGCATTCTTCAGACCCCTTCTCCATGTCATTGGCCATAAAAGCATCAGAGGGCCCATGGAAATGTGTACTTGACAACAAATCAATAAACGCATGAACAAATAAAACAAAGTGAATAAACAACCTGAACGAAACAAAGGCAATTCGGACTAAGTTCAGCGTAGATCCGTCATTAAAAAAACACATTCATAGAAGTGATAGTCAGTCGTTTCATGGTTTCAACGTGCGTCAGCAGTGTGCAATCTGTCTACTCTGTGAGGTGCTGCAGTCCGTAATTTGTCTCCCCTGGGCCCCGATGGGAAGGCGATAGACGCTGTAACCATTTAGGTAGCCACGGAATATATTTGTGTTAACCACCTCCTCGGAGGAGGAGGAGAGTCGTGAATTCTACCTTCTAAAGAAGGATAGACAATGCGCACAATCGACGAGTCAGGATGTGACTATGATAGTAAACGATTGGCCATCTAAGATCACCAGTGCATGCGGAGTATTGCTCAAATCTGGTGGGAATATTGGGTGGGTAATGCTGAAATCCACCAGTGTTGGTTTTTGGTAAGAAGCCTTCTGTGGTGTTTTACTCGAGTGTTTGCTGAAGCTCAACCGCTTACGCTGGCTAGGTCATGTCCTCTGTATGCCAGTTGAAGACTTCTGTGTGTGTGTGTGTGTGTGTATGTGTGTGTGCTATATACGCTGTCTAAGCACCGAATATGTCGAAGTTGAGAGGGGACCAGTCGATGAGGTGGCAATAAGGCATGATAAAACGGACTGAAAGACTTGGGCAGGCTGATGTGTACCGTCTTCGTTGATGATAACTACGGGGTAGTCCACACCAGTGGTTGGAGACGTTCAGATATGGCGCGGTCGCGCAATCAGTGACGTACCTGCGTTCGGTTTCTTGCATCTACCCATTCAGTTTCCAATCTGATTAGATTTTTGCTTTTCTTTCTTGGTGCTATTTCCTTTATATTTCATTTGCGTTCAACCTCAGCTTTTGCCATTGTTATTTGTTGTTATTATGGCGACGTGAGTCGTAGCAATTGGATTCATCGTACTTCGCTGCCAGGACCAGAGTTACCCAACTGAACTGAACCGATCGTCTATGGTAGTGTGGTTGTAGCATAGCGTCAAAAAGAAGCCCCAATGGAGTACTGTTAATTCTCACTTTAGTGTGCTAACTCTGTGCCCTGAGAATCGTATAGTTTGACGCAGTTCCACTGAGCCTCTCTCTATGACAACACTTCCCGACTTGCCTTATGCCTATTTTTGACGGCACCGGTATCAGTTAGATGGTAAGAGACTGTACGAATTGCATTGGTTCAAATAAACGCTATGTACGCCTGCTTATAACTCATGGAGAGAAGTTTGCTTTGGTTGCCAAATTTCAGGTGCCGTAAACTTCGGGGCTGAGAAGGACAGCCATAGTGAAAAAGAGTTGCCGGCCAGTAGACTGAGTGTTGCCACCACGTCTCTGCCCCCAAAATTAGAGCTCAACGTGCATTTGGCCGGTGTGACTGCAATGCATGGCTCGAAATAAACACTAGCGGGATGTCTGCTGTCGTCTCTTAGCTGTCGGCGCTGACAGATCATTTATGAAGTAAAGCCGATTTTGATGCGAGATAGCGGAGGTTTCCGAGGAGCAGTCTCGTCGAGGTCACCTTACATTCAAACGTAGGTGTGCCTCGAGTATGTGGCACAAGTAGATAGATTGGACTGCGATTAGAGAAAATCAGGACCACTGCAAACACATACCAGAAAGTTAACACCAACCTAGCAAAGAGGCAGGTGTAGTGAGGGAAAAATCAACGCGCAGATGCTCCAGACAGGTAGAACTCAAGTTCCTCGAAGTTGAAGACAAAGAGTTGGCAAATGCAAGGGATGTTGGTTTCGTGCTAGACAACGACGCTACTGCATAACCCGAGTTCTCCATGACGGTCTCAGTCCCACTTGATTCATGTCAGTAAATCAGTGATAACTTTCAGTGACGCACAGAGTATTTGCAGTCAGACAAAAAGTGCCAAGGCTATGTAGTGAAAAGAAAAAAGAATACCTGTTACATTGTTGAAGTGCAGCTTCACAGCAGACATTCCGCTTGCTACCGTCATCTGTGATTGCCTCCAGTTTAGGTCAGTCACAATGTGTCGTGTGCCTGTGAATCAACTGTGATCCAGTACAGATCGAATTATACAAACTAAGCCTCGTTGAATACTAAGAGTCATTGTGGTCTGGAGGTCCCAAGTACTGTGTCCCACCAGCGAGACGGTTGGTTTCGGTCCTAACAGATTCGCGAAAGTGAGACACTTCGATGAACACAGAAGGAAGCGTTGCAGTGGTGCTCTCGAATCAAAGCAAGTATTGGCGGTCGAAATGAGACTGGGTTGCAACGACAATAGAGCTTAAGGTGTTGCGACGGTTTGTGTATATCTTCAGCACACCAAACTATACGGGGTGGTTCACCTGTTTATCGTTTTTACGAGCTTGATAAAGGGATCGCATACGTTTCACCACCATGCGAGGTGGCATCTTCAATGCGATGATAGGCAGTGTATAATCCTGCTTATTAAATCGTCAGTCTGTCATCCACGGGAAGGTGACTTTTGAAGGTGGCAATTTCGATTTGCGCTGTGATCTCTGCCCATTTGCTTCCGCTGCTGAACCATGTCTTTCGATTCGTCGGAGATGTTTCTTTCTGAGCTGATGGTACACGGGGTCGATGTCAGAGGGCTTGTAAAAAAACATTATGCATCGTCTCTTGTCTCGGCGCATGTGGATGAGGAGGGACATAGCTTCAGTTGGAACAAAACGGTGATTTTAGCTCAAACAAGAACACAGAAAGGAAGAGAATTTCTAGAAGCATGGTACTCATCTAATAATTCGATCAACATGCGCATCGACATCGACCCCGTGTACCATCAGCTCAGAAAGAAAGATCTCCGGCGAATCGAAAGACATAGTTCAGCCGCGGAAGCAAATGGGCAGAGATCACATGGTGCAAATCGAAATTGCCACCTTCAAAAGTAACCTTCCCGTGGATGACAGACTGCCGATTCAATAAGCAGGATTATACACTGCTTATCACCGCACTGAAGATGCCACCTCGCATGGTGATGAAACGTATGCGACCCCTTTATCAAGCTCGGAAAAGCAACCAAGCCGGGCTACCAGTGTTCCAAATTAGTTCGTATACGGGGGGGGGGGTGCCCTCGGACCCCTTGAACGCTAATCTTATCGGATTGATAGGAGTCAGACAAACACAGTGTCCTGATCATCCAGTTCGAATGTTGGAAACAGGATGGCGTTCATTTCTGCAAAACAGGCTAATGGCCAACTTCCCGTAGCCCAGTGGACAGGCTGTTGAGGAGTCTAGTCAATCTTTTGCTTAGGTTTGGAAGTATACAGACTCAGACTTAACCGAGAATAGGTGAAGTATTCAGCAACGTTAAAACACGCCCTGTAACATCCGTAGGGCAGTTTGAAAAATGCCGCTTTATCTAGATTTTCCACCTGTTTTTCTTATTCCCCTCCCGGCCCCTAGTACTAACCTTTCATCTAACAGTACCAGATCGGTTGACAACGGTTGCAATATCACGACCATCTGCAGCCGGCTTTCACATCACTCATTGTAGTGCTATTGTCAACAGACCCTAATAAGGGTGATGCACCCCGTTAAACTGGTGCATTCCAAGTTAGATAGTCCACCAGACAGCGCTCGCTCTGGGTATTGATGTTTGTTGTGTACCGAAAGTATGATGAATGACCCTCACGTGGTAGCTGAACTAACTGCACCCGGCTTGTCCTCCCACTACTGGCTACACTCGTCCGGAAACGTCGATCCGGTAAACACTGATCAAGCTGCGGTGGACATCGTTTACAACGACAAGAGTAAACGATCATTAGATTGGATTTTGCTGGGTAGACAGAGATTCTGAGCAAAGAATGCTTAATCTGACCAATGTTGAGAGTCATTTTGAAGTACGTGTTGTGTGGATGGATTGCGACGCGCGATCTCAATGTTGACCGTGATTCCCACTGCAGTGAACGTTGCTCTTTCAATCACAAGGACCGTAACATAGAAACAGAAATTGGGTGTTGCCCGCTCAAATACATTGCACTACTATGACGCGTTTCGATGTTATTACATCTCATCAGATAGAGTTATCAGACATCGAACCCGGGACCATCGGGATGTTAGTTGTGACCGATACCCCTAAGCCACGGAGTCACAACGGGAAACGCTTGGCGCAACGGTTTAGTGAATGACGTGCAATCTCAATGTTGACCGCGATTCCCATCGAAGTGAATCTTGGTCTTTCGATCTCGAGGACTGGAGCTGACGCAAATAGAAATGCTGAATATGCTTTACCTGCTGCGTCCGAGCAAATGGATGGCTCAGTGAGTGTATGGGTAAAGGTGACCATGTGAGTAGATTTAACTGTTTGGAACACTACACAACCAACTTAGATTCCAACCCCCGATGATGTATCGCGAGCATAACTCACTTAAAAGTGGGAATCTCAATGGGTTTGAACAAATCGGTAATGTCCGCATCCAGTTGAATCAGATCTGGAAGTGTTGGAGCCTTCTCAGGGGACAAATCGCCCAATTCACTGAGCATCGCTCGAGCCCGCTCTTTGGCCGCAGACACAGGCTCTGTCCATTTGGGGGGAGCCCGAGTCGGAGCAGCCGACTGCCGAGTGTCTGACGGATCGCTGTTGCGGGGGAGGAAGAAAAGGGCAAACGTGGTCAACCATGGCAGCATAACCGAAGGTGCATAGGCAAAAGAGAGAGAATACAGAACTGTAACACCACACAAAAGCAAGTCGGTAAATGAAAATTCATAGAGGCCATTAACCCAGTAGGTATTCTGAAACAATACTAGTCAAGTGCCAAAAAAATCCAACATCCACCACAAGAGCAGATGGTTCAATGGTTCAAGCGTAATTCGGTCTTTTCGAGGCTAAACGAGGCAACGCGAAAAGGAAGAATGTTGACTGACTGTGGAGCACAAAACTGCGGGCGATTAGAAGTGAAACATGCCACCATTTAGGATGCGGTCTGTGTAAAGAGGGAAGACCTCAGGCCAACATCGAAATATAATGCAGTCCACTAAGTTCTTATGTTTTGAGAAAAACATCGTGAGCCATAGTAAGTGGAAAAATAAATTCTTAATTTACGTCGAAAGCGATGTAGCAAATATTGACAGCCTAGTTAGAAAGGTATTCATTAGCAACTTCGATTCGCATTGAAGTAAAACTTGGTCATTTTGATCCCTGGGACCGGACGGATATTGAGTGTCACTCTCTCGAAAACATTGCACTGCACGATGCGTTTCGAGCTTATCTGATCTCATCAGGTGGAGATAGCAGGCAACAAACCCGAGCCCGTTAGAATGTTAGCCGAAACCGATACCCCTAAGCAACCGAGTCACGACGGCCAACGCTTGTCACAATAGATAAGGACTGGGAAGGATGGGGACATTTTGAAAACTTCGTTGTGTAGAAAGTGCCTCTTTCTCATTTGATAAACACGCACCTAATGAAATTGCCATGCACCAGACGATAAAGCAAGTAAAAGGGCAAGATTAGTTGTTGTGCGAAGGCTTACCGACGATCCCTTGTCGACTGCATAGTGGATGGCCGTGAATCAGGCACTTCATTGAAGCCACCAGCAGGTTGGCGCATAGCACGCTTGATTCGCTCCTCTAACATAGATCGATCTTTGTCCGGCAGCTGTGTGAAGAGCATAAGGAAAGGGGAACAGGATGGTCACAAAGCAACTATGTGAGTGGACAGAGGTTCACGGCAGGACATTTGTATAAGAAATTCTGATGGTAGGGAGAATGGAAGCGCGGTGGGGCTAGGTGCCATTATTTGCCGGTTGGATAATGCCAAACACGTCCGCTTCATACACAGCCAAGCAATCTCCACTTCTGGTTATCTCCGCCTTGACGTACAGCTGTCGAGTTGAAAATAAGTAAGTACCCTCGTCTTTCACTACTCCTTTTTAGAATGACACAATGTATAGGAAAATATTTCACCTTAATTGGCTGCTACATCCCATACTTGCAAATTGGTGTTTTAGCGTTTCTCTTATCACCACACACAATTGCTCTTCACCTCTCATCCCAAGAGAAAGAACACTTGGTTCCATTCGTATATAGAGTCCTCGGTTAGGACGCTTTGGATCGGAGAACCACCACAGATTAAAAAATAGGATTTAGTTTGCAGTCTAACATTTAATACATCACACGAAAGAATTAAAAGACATTAGTAATATCAAAATTACGTGTCTTGTGAACCCGAGAACATACATTATTGTCATGATCATTAATACTACTAGTATTGTTAGTATTCTCGTTATCATGAAGACGAAGTGTAACAACGAGTATACGCTTAGAGAAAAGGTAGGAACAAAATAGAAAACGGAAAAGCGCCGAGAAAGTTGGGACGGTGGGTTGAAGGGGCGACATTTTATAGGGGAAGAATGTGTTAATGTAGTGGCCAGGTAAGACCTACATCTAGTGGACTGGGTCCTTCCGAGCTTTCTATGAGCAGTTTAACCAAATGTATACAACGGTCAAAAATAAGAATGTGGTTCATTATTAGAGCTATCAATGCTAGGCACCGGGTTCGTAGAGGTGACGTTGACACGTCATGTAGCCGTTGCACACGAGCCGAAGGTGAATAAGGACAGCTACCAAAATGGACGCCGAGCATGAGAGGACTTGGGAATACCACATCCACATGCAGCATTCGCGTAGTGTCATGTCTCGCTTCGGTTCACAGAAAGGATAACGATCTAAAGCGATCGTGAAGCGAGTTGTAGAGATTGTGCCAGATTGCATCGAATGTAAAAGTGTCAAGACAGATTCCGTAGAACAAAGAAGCATCGGACAGCCGGTCCAAGTGCATATTACGAGTGAGGAAATAAGAGTGCGGTGAAGAAGGAGAAACTAATCTGATGTAATTTGGTGAACCGCATCGGGATCGTAATTGGCAACAGTGGCTACAGACATACAGTGGGGGAACAGAGTAAGCTCGTCGATCAGAAGATGAAAGAGAGCGCACGCTATGTTGTGAAGACGATGGGGCATCAGTACATTTGAGCTCCGTTGCTCAAGTTGCTGAGAGGCAATGCGTTCTGTAAAACCTTCAGTTACGCGACCGTCAGAGATGATGCGACTACCGAGATAGACTAGGTACACATTTAAGCAATACATCAGGAAGAAAACTCGACCACTCACCGAGCCTATCATCTTCCACAACTGTTCACCCACAATTGCATGAGCAGAGACGAGCGCATTCAACGCAGCGGATCGAACGCCACTGTCTCGATCTCCAATCTGTTGACTGACTGCCTTCAATGCGGTTGCCACGGAAGGCTGACATACACTGACCCCGAAACGGTCAATGAGCGAGCCGATTTCATCGAGGCATTCTGTGTGGGCAAGGGGAGACGAACGGTGAGGACTATGGTAAGAAGTGAAGACAACAATCACGAACAATAGGCAGGTCCGAGAAATTATTACTTCAGAATTGAAAGCTAGGGACAGTAATCAACGCCATCCATTCAGATAGATGCATCCGTATTGGGTCCTGATATAAGTTATGGATTAAGTCGGGGTAACATTAACACACATTGAATGATAACCTAGGCCAACGTTGTCTAGTTGATCCAGCCATTAGATTTCAAGCCTGCTTCACTCCAGTGGAACACTTGTGGAGAGTGAACATGTGGCGCTTCGGGACACGTTCCTGGCACGCTTCGCCCTGCTAACGACCTTCACGTTAGAGTGAAGAAGCGATGACATAACCACCACGGACAAAAATGTCAGAGATGATGTCAGTGTTCAGGAATTTATCTATTATTTGAAGTCTGTACTCTAAGAATGACGAGCATACGTGGCATACGTGGACAATTTCGACTAGATCCAGTCTCTTCCTCAAATACACACCGTTGGGGTGTATAGCACCTCTAGGCCGAACACCGACAGACTGTTTTCATCTGCTTCTTGGGAGTAAAAACATAGAACCAAGTGACACATGTATGCAAAATTTTCTCATAGTAAAAATTTGCGCTCTATCTACGTGTCCACCGCAAACAAGGTGATTCTGAATGAAAGAACGGATCGAGGCGGGAGTCGCACGCAAATTCAGAACAGATAGGGGAATTTTGGTAACGCCTGTTCAGATGCTCCACACTGAGTGCATGGAACCACTCTTCAAGCCTAGCAAGGCTACAAGGACCGTGCACCTCGTCCCCTCCAGCAACAACCAACTGTTTCTTGGAGCCAGTATGGAGGAGGTAGTGAGTAATAGACAGGCACAGGCACATCAAGCGCAACCACATCGGGGATGTCAAGCAACGGTCAATCACTTGAAACGAGGATATCAAATAAAATAACGCAAATAATGCATACAGATACGGAGAAACAACTCTTCACTAAATGAACATATGAAAGAAATTAGTTAAAAAAATCCGCTATACGTTCAAGACATCAGAAAATATATTTCAAGAAAGTGTGACAAAGGCGAAAATGTTGTCAAAGTTAACTACAATTAACCTGAGCGACGTATCCAAGTTAACAGAGGATAGTGCATGTAGGCAAGACAATATAGCAAACTCACCACCTGAAATAAAGAGACAGTAAGCAAGCACACCGTTAGTAAATCGAATGCAGTGTACCTACCAACGCTGCGCCGGTCCTGCCTACGTTCACTGCAAGATTCGTCGTCGTTTCGGTGTTGGCCCCGAGTGGCCTCGCTCATGGTTCACTAGGCCTGTCTGACTCAGGCACTCGCGACCGCATATGCTACAGTACCATACGCTCGATGTCAATGGAGTACAACCCATCGGCGCCTGTCGCTTCCGCAATTGCTGCTTCTTCTCTGCATGCATGAGGTCTTTCTCCCACACTTCGGCAAATGCCCTCGTGATCAGATCGCCGCATGCACGCCGATCAACCGCCTTCGAATCCCATGACCTGCAATCAAGACTAGAACGTGAGAGGCTCACTTTGATCATGTCCCGGGAATGTGACTTTGGTTTTCCCACAAGTCAATTCTGAAAAATCAGTTGACCATATAATAGCTTCTTCGGTATCCGCGTCGAATCCATACGGCTCACATGACCGAGCTACCTAAGGTGTCTCAGCAGTGCATACATTCCACTTCGATGCAACCCTTCCGTGTCAGCAACTCTGTCTCCCCAACCGATGCGCAGAATCCGTCGCACACACTGCTGATGGAACCACTCGAAATATCGCACATTCCTCCGGTACATCGTCCACGTTTCACTGCCGTATAGAAGAACGGACAGCACCATGGATTTGTACATCATCAGCTTCGTGCCAATGGTAAGCTGATGGTTGTTCCACACTCGGTACTCAAGCTTCCGGAATGCCGCCGCTGCCTTCGAGACGTCGATACGCAGCTCACTGTGTAGCTGCTTGTCAGTCAACGCCACACTCCTAAGGTAGCAGAAGCGGGAGGTGGTTTCCAATACTTCAGCACCAATGCTGATTCGCGGCAATATTGAAGATTGCATCTCCGGTGAAGGCTGAAACAGACAGACAGTTTTGCTTGTGTTGATGGTGAGGTGGAATTTGACCGCTGTCGAAGCCAGAGCACTAGTCATGTGCCACAACTCATCCGTGCTGTGTGCAAACAACGCACAGTAGTCAGCGAACGGCAAATTACAGATAGCTTTCTCACAGACAAGAGTTCTCGCACCGAAACGACGAAGGTTCAGCAACGCACCATCAATACGGTGCTCCACACGAACATCGTAAGCACAAGCCACATCAAAAGCGCAAGACATCATTGCATGAAGATAAATAGTAAACAGGGCAGGAACTAACACACAGCTTTGCTTCAAACCACCGACAACCGCAGTCATCCGACGTCTGTCCACTCAGCCGCACCCTCACTGGCATACAACTGTGCAGACATTCAATTAAAGTCACATGCTTACGCGGGCAACCAAACTTACCCAACACCAGCCACAATGTCTCGCGGTTCACCGTATCAAATGCATCGGTGAAATTCACAAAAAGCGAGTAGAAACGTTGGAGTTGTTCTCTACAGTTCTTCTGCGACTGTCGAGCCGCAAACACCATATTGATGGTGCTGCAACTCGAACGGAATCCACATTGCTCTACCGACACGCTCGGTTCCACAACCTGACTGACGATGTTGTTGAGCAGGATTCGGGCAATCGCCTTGCCCACACAACTCAGCAAGTTGACGCCACGATAATTCGTGCAACATTGCTTACTCCCTTTGCCCTTGTACAGTGATAGCACAAGAGCATCCTTCAGTTCAGGAGGCACCTCCTCCTCAATCCACACACGTTGCAGCAAGTGGTGCAGCGCAGTCACCAACGCGGGTCCGCGTGTTGCAATACTTCAGGTGGGATCCCGTCAGTACCGGTACACTTGCCGTTTCGCAGCTGAGTAAGTGCTTTCTGCATCTCATCCAGTGTTGGCGTGTCCGCCAGACCCAGCTTCACCTCGTGCTGCTTCAGGCCGCTGAATGTAGACCAGTCAATCTCGGAACGGTTGTTCAACAGGCGGTCAAAGTGATTTCGCCAGATGTGCATTATGTCTACAGTCTGTGTGTGGGTTGCGAGTGAGCTACCATCGATTAGCGTCCTCATCGGCTTCAATCTCAGTCCATACACCGTCTCCAAAAAGTCAAAGAATTACTTGTGTTGGCGGCAATCGCCGTAGCATTCAGTCTGCTTCGTCTTGTTGTACCTAGGTTGTTAATTTCGTTTGGCGACAGATTGATGACCCAAACCACGTACCTATACTTACCCCCCCCCCGGTAAAATTCCGTTTACCCCCGTGGGGGCACTTACCCTCCGGGGTTGAGAACCACTGGTATGGAGTGGCACGATTACCAAGGCGGAGTTGGGGATGGGGGGGGGGGTTGGACCAAAGCGAGATGGTTGTACGCAACGCTACGTGAACAGGCTACTGGACCGGAGTTGTCAGCTTCGGTGCGGACGCGTGAACACAGGGAGGCCATATGAGACGCAAACAGCTGAGATGTGTGAATCGCACTTGTTAAAATCAGCTGATTGTTCTTGTTGTTGCAGCGATTGAACAGTGGTCCGGTCAATATCACATACCAGTGCGTAAAATTTTACAGCTATGGACGCAAACCGCTGTGAGCGACCAGAGAAAAAACATGTGCACACACAGGCTGGAGAGCCTGTAGTGCCGGATCGGTTTGTAACCGTTAGTGAGTGCAATTAAAGTAGTCTAGCGATCGTAACACTCACCTTGTCTGGTTTTGTTCGTCTTCGAACGAATTCCGTTGGACAAGAAGACGAACAGTCGAGCGGGAGGGTAACAGTTGACAATCAGCTTGAACAGACCACGAACGGACTGCCGAACCGCATCCTTGGCGTCACCGGCCTTCATGACCAGATATGGGAGGAAAGCGGCCGCTTCATATTCAGAAAGAGCAAAACCAGATTCACTCAACCGAGAGAACAGTTTGGTTAAATAATCAAGGCCTGAAAGGAGATTGGATGAGGCGATGAGTGTGAGGCAGAGTATAAATGGGAGTGTGGTGAGATTTGTCGAGAAGTGCAGAAGACAAGAAACAGGTGAGTTGGGAAGCAATTGATCGTTGGAATAGTTCCTAGTGAAGCGGAATGAAGTGTTAAATTATGCAAATTCATGGATGTGGTAAAGCTCGAGAGGGGCAAAATATAGCCACTGTGGAATAACAAGGATCACAAACGAAAAGCATAATTTGCAACCGAATGGGAGTCAGATAAGAGTCCGAAAGTGATTTTCGGGATGGCATATGCTTACGATACGGAGGTGTTATAACTAGCGCCACTATAGTAATAATGATAATAATAATAATACGTAAGGGAGGGAGAAAACAGGCATGCGGACAAAAATCGTCCATAACTCAGTAACCGAGCCATGTTGGACAAGGTCTCCATCGACTAAGGTCGCAGAACTAAAGATTCGCATTTCAGAGGACACCAAGTACCACCCTCCCGTCACGTCAGTGATTCGCTACTCGGTGGTTCCATCCAAACATGTGCAGTATAAATATACTAATGCCTACAGAGGTAAACAATAAACAAGTATGCAGAAGATATGACTAATTTAGTGCTGCATCAAAAGGACAATTTGACAAACACTAACTTGAGTATCGCACATTCAGTGAACAATGCATTGAGAGCATCGATGTTCGAAGACGACTATTACCTCGTTTTATCCCCGTACCGCAACTGTTTGTCCTTAAAACAGTAACCCAGGCGCACTACAATGCTTGAAAGCACACCACTAACGTACAAATTGAAGGGGCTGACTTTGGTGATTCACGCAACTCAAATCAATTTGAGCAGGGTTCTTCGCAGCAAGTAGATCGCTTGAAGAGACAGCGATCCATATGTTTAAACTGTTGGGAGAGAGCAAAAACACCCCTAAGAACTAATCACAAAGAGGACAAAAGATTCCGCCCAGATGCAACCATTAGATGTGTTGCGTTTGTCGTGAAGGTCAGAGTCGCTTCTACCAATCCTAAAGCGCTGTTATTCACCCAAGAAAATTAACGTAAAAAGTTTGGTGGCAGTTGTGAAATAATGTATTATACCCAATACCCAACACACCTGGAGTGTTGTGCCAAACACTTTGAAAAGCAGTTTAACAGTCCAGAGTTACCAGTTTCCTTATCGGTCAGTTATCGCTCTTCTCCCTAGGCCGTCACCTTGGATATGCTCTCACGCACAGTTAGAAAGTTCGGTTTCGGTTTTGTTTTGATTTGACCCAGAAGTTGTGCGCGTTGATCATTGGCGAATTTGTCGCTTACACATGGGGTGCCCAGTCGATCGCATGATAATGGGCAAGTGGATTAATGCCGATCGTTTTCGTGGATAGGGTTAACGAGATCACCCATATAAGGGGCCAGACACTGCATTTAGTTACAAACGCACTCGCTCCATTTAACGATTTCAAACTTACTCTAGTTCCTCTGAGTTGAGCACATTTGCTCTCAAACTTTTCAGATTTTTATGAAAAACGTGTATCTTTGTAGCTCATTTGGTGATTGACTCAGGCCCCCCAGATCTACTTTATCATGGTGGTTTATAGTCCATAGTTGAACAATGGAACCGAAAAGAACCTTTGGACAACAACCTAGCAGTCCCATACGCAAGGCAGAGGGGAGAACGAAGAGTTCGATTGGAAGAACTCACCTTCACATGAACAATAGCCGCACACAAAGTAATACGAGCTGAGGTGAGAAATGGGGTCACGTAAACAGCAGAAACGGTGGTAACTCAGTAAGTGAGATCTGATGCCAACTCTGTCCTGTGCACGCTGGAAAAGTGTCAAGCAATAGATGATAAGTTCCACTCAGCCACTGTGGCCTAGTGGTCTTAACTACTGGATCGCGGATTCTAGTCGTGCACTGAGTGGATAGCATGTGCACTACTGACGAGTTTCGTACGGATGAGATGGCCATCCGGGTGTGAAGTGCTGTCTGAGCAGAACAGAGAAGATTGAATAACTTCATCGTACACGCATGATGAGAACGAAGAGAAGACGAGAGCAACAAATTGCTGCACGAACACTACTAGTCGGGACGATCCTTTGATTGTAAGCCAAAACGCATAACGTAAAGTAAGTACCGGGATCATGACAAATGCTAGACTGGAAAATCAAACGGTGGAAATACGGGTATCGTGAGTTGCGGCGGCATCATAAGTGCTGTTAATGAATTGGCAAAGGTTGGGAAACAATTGTGAAGAGATTTGGGCCGATGATAACAAAACCGCGAGACACTTACATCGTCCGACCACGACCGGATTGGTTTCGAAAAACCGCAGCACGATCCATCGCAAAATCAAGTCGATGTTGACGACAGTGGCCTCTTCGCCTTCCGCACTGTCCAGGAGTTGAGTGAGCTGATCGATACCCTTCACGTGTTGCTTAAAGTCCGCGTGGAAGATCAAAGCATGGAAATCGGGGGAAGCACCGGCAGCGAGAAATAATTGGTTTAGTTGTTGCACGTGGTCACGGGAAGGGGTATCGAAGTCCCATTTGAGCAGCTAGAATAAGGGGAAGAGAGGAAGAAGGTGGAATCTGGATGAAACAATGTGAACGTACCTTGCGCTTTTTCTCGTCTGCCAAGCGAGCAGCCTTAGCCGCTTTGTTGGCCTGCAAAATGCATGTAGAAGCGGGAGGTTCGTCAGCTACTTTTGAAGCTGGAGGTGGAGCTACTGTAGCTCCCTTCTTAACTTCTGTCTTGCGTCTGCCACTGCGCGCGGGAGGAGCAGTGGATGGAGGACTGGAGCTGTTGTCTTCTGCATCTGGATGACAAAAAAGAAAAGAATTGGGGGAAAGAGACCGTACAAGTACTGAACACTTTCATCTCAGTCGCAGAGTAAAGCAATACTGTAGATAGTGTGGATTTGGTGTGCTCAGGGACGGTAAACAGGCGAATTCAGCGAGGCCAGACATGCAACCAATATTTAGCTCTAGAGGCAAGTAATTCTTCTCAAGTAAAGAAGACTGAAAAAACGATCAGTCAGTTAACCTAGTACTTATTCAAGCCAACACACACGGCACGGCAATGGAGATGTGACCCTTACGAGCAATAAAAGCAAATCAATAAAAAAGGTGTTGCTCAGTCTGGCAGTAGCTAACGATACGCGCTGCAAACAGACACAGGGTGCCTGCGTGTACAAAGGAACCATGGGTGGTTTGTGATGAGTTAGCAAAAACAGCGCCATCCGCACACCCATAACCAGGGTAAATCCGGAGAATAAAACCGGGAGGTATGTAGTTGAGAGCCAGGGTTGGTTCGGTGTCGGTCCACACGCTTCAGAACGGAGAAACTTGGGGGGAAACAACACAGAAAGTCTATACCACACCTTGTACAGCGCCGATGCCGTGCCGTATCCTAGTACATAATGGGACACCACTCGTTGGGCAAACCAACTGGCATTGCGGCTGTACATCTAACACGCCATGAGTCAGTGACAGGACGAATAGGTGGTTGGCCAGCATTCGAAACAAGCACAACAGTCCCGGTACATGTAGCGGAAACAAGCGTCAACCATGTGACAACTCCAGCTCAGAGTACAAATCACCATCTGATCGCAGCTGCGGCGATGACAGTATACCTGTGTCACACAGAAGTCGCAGTGTCGGCGTGATCACGGACCCATTCGGCATACTCGCCGCTTTTTCGATAGAGGCTCGTAGTCTAGACGTAACGAGCTTGTCACGTAAGCTTGCAGCGCGGGTTCGAATCCGCGTATGGGTGGGCGTCCTCACGGTATACTCAGCCCGCGTGTGACTGGTGGTGGTCGCACGGCAGAGAAACGCCGTTACCGCATACAGCTGACACATTATCATTTATTCGACAGAGGCTCATCATGACTACATCCGCGTGCACATCGCACTTACGTGAATAGGTTGAACAGCCATGGACACTATGTTCGGACTTGGAAATTGCAACGATTTGAGCAGAAGGCATGGGTAGGGGTGAATTAGGGGGATGCGAGCTCTTGTGTGGGTGAAGCTGGCTTCAAGTTATCCCAATAACGTAGAGGCCACCGTAGGGCTGTGCACGTAGTGTTCCGAATCAGGCCATCCAACTGCTATAGGAACACACGAAGTGATCATTTGGTGGTCTCACCCAGCGAAGAACCCGGATTCATCAGCAGTGTGCCGACATATCGTACTGACGCTTCGCTACCACGTGACCATCCACAGTCTCGCGTGAGCTGGACATACCGCGAGGTCTTCCGCACCTATGCCAATTCGATCTGATGACCTCCGTTCGGTCACCGGCTGACGCACGGAAACTAAGGTGTGACCCCAGACATACGGTAAAGATAGAGATGAGCAACGGTGAGCCAACCCTCTAGGAATTGCACTGGAGATGTTGACATGTTTAGAAACAAAACATATTTGAGCAAGCCACTCAGCCCAGAGCACAAGCCATTCTTAATGGAATCTAACGAACTCAGGTTTATGGGTGGCCACTATGCGCACAATAGGAGAGCAATGAACTAACCAGTAGTGGGTAAGGAAGTGATAGACTCTTGCTTCTTCCCTCGAACCACTTTCTTGACTGCAGCTGTCTTGGACGACGTGGTGGTAGCTGCAGACTCTTGAACGGCGGCAGCCACAGATTCGCGAGCCTTTTCCAAATGAGGCATCACCGTGTCCTTGGATGTGGCTTTTAATCGGTTCGCCGCCTTGGAAACTGCATCCCAACCAAGTACGCGAATCAGCTGCGGTACAGCTAGTTGGGCGTGTTTACGCGCGTCCGGGTTGCGGTCCTCCATTGACGAGAATATGTGAGGCATCAGGTTTGGGGCGAATTCCGATGGTAATTGCTTTCCATAGTTCGCTGGCAGATCCGTCAAAACCCCAGTAAGCCAGCGGAGTAGCTCCGATCGCAGGTAAGCATTCTCAAGCTGAACGACGAAGAGGAGGAAAAGGAGGTCAGAGAAACTGAAGAGGAACGTTGCAAACAGTTGCTAAGGAGGTTAAAAAACCCACCCACCTTTTGATGAAGCTTCACGTCATACAAATGACGCCAAAACAGTGTCTCCAGATTTGTCACAAATAAATATATGAAATACTCTTCTGTCCAAAATGGATGATAGACGACCTCGTCTTAGAAATATTCGATCTGCATAGACCTCAAAGATAGGGCGCGGCGGTGAATTGCGTTAGGTAGAGTAGTCTTACTCAACATAGGTGAACGATAGACAATCGCTGAGTGGCCGATTTAGAATCACCTGGCGGTCTCAGCGGAACAAATTCCGGTAACCCAATAAGGTTGCTAGTGTAGCCTTAACAGATGCGGTGAGCCCTTCCTTCTTTGTTGCGAATACCGTCCGCGCTCAGCGCTAATTGATGGACAATACGTCATAATGCAGTACCGTGTAAGAGTAGTTTAGACCTTTGCGAAAGAATGATTTGTGTCCGAGAATAGTCCTAATGAGACAGTCAGCGGAGCAGGAATCGGTCACTCATGTCTGCCTGGTAGGCCATTTAATGACAACATATTGGAAAATGTTGTAGCGAGATATACTATGACAATACATTTATTATTCTCTCCGACGCGCGCATGTTGGGTGTCAACATCGTTTTAGTGTCCAGCAGGCTGGCGCACAGCATCAACCAACATGAGTTTAAAAAGAAGGAATGCTGAGAGAGGATCAAATCCGAGACAAAGCATTTACGCAAGACTGAATAGGTACTGTTAAAGATGTGACTGAACAAGACAGGGAGAAATTGTGGGCCTGACTCCTGGGAGTTTTATTACTTAGGTGGTGTGTAGGCTGAGCTATTTCGGGTTAGTTTACAGGATACCTCAGAGGCTAAAGTTCCAAATGCGATTATAGCCCTGACTTAGCTTCGAGCTGCTGCTTCAGATTCCCTGAAAACCGCAATATTTAAGGATGGCGGTAAATTCTTCCGCAAAGCACTGACCTCCTTATGCGAACACGTCTGGAAGGAGGAGACCAGGACAGTTAACTGGAATGAATCGATCATAGTGGCAATATATAAGAAGGGGAATCGCACCGAATATGTTAACTACAGAGGTATTAGCCTAGTTCCGGTAGTGACAAAGGTACTCGACTCAAAATTCGCTCGTCGCCTCAATAGGGAACGGGAATCCCGGATGAAAGGACACCAGGCAAGTTTCCGCCAATGGCAACGACGTATAAACCACATTCCACTTTGCGATAGATGTTACGACATTGTTACACGTACGGCAGACCGACAAAAGCCGTGATCCAAGAATTCAAGAATGAGTTCGATTCAGTCAATCGATGCATTATGTTCGAAATACTAGCATAGAAAAGTGTTCCCAAAAACATGTGAACATTTTACGTGCCCTATACTCGAACACCATAGCTCGCATCGGAGTCTACGGCGACGACAAGTGGCGTTCTTCAGGGTTGTGCAACCTCACCATTTTTGTCCAATTTCGTCGAGGGCTCCATTATGGAGCGGTCTCTTGCAGAGCTGCACTTTGCAAGCGATCAGATATCGCCTAGTGAAAAGCTGGTTATCTTGATTTTGCGGAAGATAGTACCTTGATGTTTATCGATGTTGTGGTGGCACAATCAACCCTGAATAGCCTCACTAGAGCAAACCCACCATTTGTTATGCGCTTCGCACCTTCAAAGTGTAAAGTGGTGCTGCAGGATCACCAGCCACTTGATGATCCCTTGACCTTTGTTAACGATGAACTGGAGGTAGTTAATCAATTCACTAATCTTGGCAACGGCATTAGTAACGATGATGTATTGCAACTGAAGTCAGTTCACGTAGTGCAAAAGCCAGAGCAGTCCTCTTGAATGTGCGACCTATTTGGAGATAGAAAAAAGTTGCCTCCGGTCTATAGGGGCGTGTTTAAAAGCCCACAGTGAGGGACGTCTTACTCTATGCGACTGAGACTTGATCCTTCGGTTTGAGGATCTGCGGCGCCTTCAAGTCATTGATCATCGTTGTCTGCGGAGCGTTGCAGGTGTCCGGTGGCAGCAGCGTGTCCACAACCATGATGTGTTAGGGCGAGTGTTGAGCA